AATTCTTTGATTTGGGAATTCCTTGATTTGTGGCTCTGCCCCTTCCAGACTTGGGGTCTTGAGATTTTGGGAATTCCTTGATTTGTGGCTCTGCCCCTTCCAGACTTGGGGTCTTGAGGTTTTGGGAATTCCTTGATTTGTGGCTCTGCCCCTTCCAAACTTAGAGTCTTGAGGTTTTGGGAATTCATTAAATTGGGATTTTGCCTCTCCCAGATTCAGGTCTTGAGGTTTTGGGAATTCCTTGATTTGGGAATTCATTGACCTGTGGCTCTGCCCCTTCCAACTTGTGATCTTCAGGTTTTGGGAATTCCTTAATTTGGGAATTCCTTTATTTGTACCTCTGCCCTTTCCAACTTGGGGTCTTGACGTTTTGGGAATTCCTTGAATTGTGATTCTGCCCCTCCCAACTCGGGGTCTTGAGATTTTGGGAATTACTTGATTTGTGACTCTACCTCTTCCAACCTGGAGTCTTGAGGTTTTGGGAGTTCCTTGATTTGGGAATTCCTTGATTTGTGGCTCTGCTCCTTCCAACCTGGGATCTTGAGGTTTTGGGAATTCATTAAATTGTGATTATACCCCTCCCAGTTTGCAGTCTTCAGATTTTAGAGGAATTCCTCGATTTGTGGCTCTGCCTCTTCCAAAGGCTATTTCCTTTGGAGGGGACACCACCAGGGAGAGCTCCAGGCTCTGAAATATCCCTCTTTTTTTCCCAGGAAAGCAGGTTGCCAAGACCCAGCTCCTGGGCAGCAGAGTGTTGGCTCATCGGATCGACCACCTGGAACCGGACACCCCGTACAGGGTCGGAATTCGGGCTGTTTTTGGCCGGACTGAGGGGCCAGAGGTGACCCTGACCCACCACACAGGTTTGTCCTGGTGGGAAAACCCTCCTGGGGGTGCGATTGGAGGGTTGGATTCCTGGTTGGAGCAACCCTGGTGGTTGGTGCCAATAATCCACGGCCGGGAGCGGACACGTCCTTCCGGCTTGTTGGGCAATCCCGGATGGATTAACACAGTTGCCAGGGTTATTTATCCACAGCTATCCCAGGAATGCAGGAGCCTCCAACCAGTGGAGGTTTTGGGAATTCCTTGATTTGGAAATTCCTTTATTTGTGGCTCTGCCTATTCCAACTCGATGTCTTGGGGTTTTGGGAATTCCTTGAATTGCGGCTCTGCCCCTTCCAACTTGGGGTCTTGAGGTTTTGGGAATTCCTTGATTTGGGAATTCCTCTACTTGTGGCTCTGCCCCTTCCGACTTGGGCTCTTGAGATTTTGGGAATTCCTTGATTTGTGGCTCTGCCCCTTCCATACTCAGGGTCTTGAGGTTTTGGGAATTCCTTGATTTGTGGCTCTGCCTCTTCCAGCTTGAGGTTTTGTGAGTTCCTTGATTTAGGAACTCCTTGATTTGTGGCTCTGCTCCTTCCAAACTCAGGGAATTGCGGTTTTGGGAATTCTTTGATTTGGGAGTTCCTTGATTTATGAATTCCTCTATTTGTGGCTCTATCCCTTCCAACTTGGGATCTTGGGGTTTTGGGAATTCCTTGATTTGTGACTCTGCCTCTTCCAACCTGGAGTCTTGAGGTTTTGGGAGTTTCTTGATTTAGGAGTTCCTTGATTTGTGGTTCTGTCCCTTCCAAACTTGGGGTCTTGAGATTTTGGGAATTCTTTGATTTGTGGCTCTGCCTCTTCCAACTTGAGGTCTTGAGATTTTGGGAATTCCTTGGTTTGGGAATTTCTTGTTCTGTGGCTCTGCTCCCTTCCACCTTGAGGCTGTTCCCTCAGCCATCTCCCCCTGGTTCCTTTTTGCAGCTCCTCCTGCAGAATCCCAGCCCATCCAGCCCATCCAGGACCTGAGGGTCACCGACACTGCCGGGAGCAGCTTGAAGCTCTCCTGGAAGAGGCTTCCTGGGATAACTCACTATAAGATATCGTGGGGGCCATCCAACGGTGAGTATCCCAACCCCTCGGTATCCCGACCCCTCGGTATCCCGACCCCTCGGTATCCCCATCCCTCGGTATCCCCACCCCTCAGTATCCCCATCCCCCAGTCAGGTGTGGGATGAACCCAGAGCACCAGAAACCCCCAAAACCAGCAGTTCAGCTCACTTAAGCCTTTCCCCAAGCTCTAGGCAGGGTCTGAGTCTACAGGGATTAGCTGAAGCACCAGAGCTGAGCCCTGAGCTGAGTTTTAGTCTCCAACAAAGGGATCCACTGGATCTGAGCCCAACTGGAATTTGGGAAATCCAAGCAGTTCCCTCCCAGCAGCACAGGGGACACCTTGGGGACCAGCTCTGCCCTCCCTGCCCAGGTCCCACAGGATCCGGGTGAGGAAGCTGCTGGAACGAGGATTGTTGATCATTCCCATGGGGAAAGCTCTGCCCCCAGGAGGGGGAGAAATTCCCTCTGGGAACATTTGGCTGCTCCGGGAACCTTGGGAGATCCCAACCTGCCTTCCCACAAATCCCCCTTGCTGTTCCTTGGGCTCCCTGCTCTCAACTCCCCCCTGGGCCAATGGATTTAGGGAATATCTGATGTGGGATGTGACTTTTTCTCCCGGTGGTCCAGGCAGTCCAGGAACTCCATGGAGCCCCACAGGGCCTGGCAAACCAGGTTTCCCCTAAAAAAAAGGAATATCCATCCTCAAATCTTTCCCTTCCAGCCCAAAAAGGTTCATTTTGAAGTGCAAAAAACACGAGCAGAGAAACGTCTCCCCCGATATTCCCACCTCAGCAGTCCCTCTAAACTGAGGGTTTAGGGGTTATTCCCAAATTTCCTCTTCCTGCATAAATGAGTTATGGATCACCGGCTTTGCTGAGGAAGGGAAAACAACACCGTGGGGGATTATTTTTGGATAATTCCAAAATGACACTGTGGGTTTTATTTTTTTTTTTGGGATGATTCCAAAATGACGCCGTGGAGGTTTTTTTTGGATAATTCCAAAACGACCCTGTGGGGAATTTCTTTGGAATGTCTCTTCTTAGGTGGCTTGGAATCCTCCCAGCTTGTTGGGGCAGAGGCAGCTTCCTTCACCATCCCTGAGCTGAAGGAGGGCACCTCCTACACCATCCATGTGTCCGGAATGATCCGAGGGCGGGAGGGAACCCCCGTGGTCCTCACGGCCAAAACCTGTGAGTACGGGACCGTCGGATCCAAGATCCAAGAGAGTGGGATCCATGAAATCCGTGTTGACACCGTTTCCATCCTCGCCTCCTGACTCTTTTCCAGGTTTCCAAGAGGTTTAAACCCCACTTTTTGTGTTTCCTCTCTAGTGGGAATTCCCGGAGAGCCGCCGAGCGTTCCGGCAGCTCCGATGACACCGGATCCGAGGAGAACCCCATCCATGGCTCCCGGCAGCGTGGGGGACACTCCTCTCCCAGTGGTCACCACTCCTCTCCCAGTGACCGCCACCACCACAAAGTCCTCACCGAACCCAGAGACCCCCCAGGCCACCACCAGCATGTCCCCGCCGCCGACAACTTCCCCCGGGCCCGGTGAGTGGTGTCCATGTTGGGGAAGAGCCAAACCCCATAAATCCCCCAAACTGCTCTGAATTCCTTGAGGTGGGAGAGTGGGAAATATCAGGGAAGAGCCAAACCCCATAAATCCCCCAAAGTGCTCTGAATTCCTTGAGTAGGGAGAGTGGGCAATGTCAGGGAAGAACCAAACCCCATAAATCCCCAAAACTGCTCTGAATTCCATGAGTAGGGAAGACAAGGAAGA